TTTCGCAATGTTAGATAAATATTGCGAAAGACACTTTTTGCAACGTTTATTTAACGTTGCAAACGATCTTTTTAGCAACGTTTAATATACGTTGCGAAAAATAAAGGGGGTTAGGCGAATTGGGTTGGGTCAATTTTTTTAATTGTGGATCGGGTTAACCTGACCCAGCGGCCCAGCCCAATCCAAAAACACTATAAACATCCGACCGCGCTACACTTACAGAAGTGGAATACCAGAAGCTGTACAGATGACATGGCATTTCAGGCGTTTAAAAGGGCGAAAGGAAACGAAGGATGAGAGAGAGACATCAAAACACCAGTTCCATTGGAAAATCCCCATTTGTGAAACTCGCTGAAGCCCTAGAGTTCCTTCCTTCCCGACCTCCGTTCGGCGGCGGCCTATGGCGTGGATTTGAAAATCCCTGAATCAAACGATTTTGCTTCCCCTCACACTGGATTTGAAAATTTTCAAACCACGGAATCGCGAAATTTTGCCAAGCTGACTATCAAATCCCTGAATCAGACGATTTTCGCGATACTCTCCTCACCAGCAAGTAGGTCCCTTCCGTGTACTGCCAAGTTTTGTTCATCTTATTTCAGTAAATATTGACCGGTATTTGTTGAACTAGGAATGTAGGTTTAGTCTGTAGCTTGCGTTGAACTGATATGCGTTTGGGTGTAATTGATATGTGGTTTTGTTGAAGTTTGGGGTGTCTTTTCCGTATGGTGTAGGTGTGTTGAAGTGAAATCGAATTTGAAGTTCTCTGTTTTCAAATCCCAATTTCAGGTTTTCACTGAAATGCAGCTAAAATAGGAGTGTAGATTGAGTCTGCAGTCACAAGTAAATTTTGTGTTTGAGTTGTGAATTGATGTCAGGGAAACCACGAACACCAAATTGAAGGTTCGAGTTGTGAATTGATGTCACAAGCAAATTTCAGGCTTTCAGTCACAAGTAAATTCATTTTGGTGTTTAAGGTGTTTTGTTGTTCTTCATATGAGTTCTCTGGTTCGTGTTTCGATATTGTTCTTCAATTTGGTATTCGTGGTTTCAGTGAAAATTTTCACTGGGATATTTAATGTTTTCAGTGACAAGTAAATTTAAGGTTTTCAGTCACAAGTAAATTCATTTTCACTGGAAGTTGAAGGTCTCTGTTTTGAAGTGCCAATTTCATTAATTTTTTACTTAAATGTAGCTGAAAAATGGCTTTAAATTTATTGAGTCTACTATTGATGATGCAATCGCCACTTTTCTTATGATTGTTGTTGTTGCTTCCGCCCAGGATGAGAGGTAGAAATTTTGGCGTTTGTCACGGATGTAGAAGCACGGATCACTTTTTTAATGATTGCCCGATGAAACGACGTTGCCCAGATTGTGCACATGGATTGGTCAAATGTTTTGAGGTTGAAAGGAATACAAATAACAAAGGGCACTTATTCAAAACGTGCAGTAGAAATTGTGGTTATTTTGATTGGGTAAAACACGAAGAATGCAGCGGTGAATCGAGTACCACAAATGAAACGGTGAATCGTGCGGCAATTGAGGAAGATGAAGATTTGCCGACTATGTTCGACAGTCTAGCTCGAATAGCCCAAAGACGAGACATCGAGATTTCGGTGAACATCACATTTCGTAAGGGGAAGGAAAGTGCGGAAGTGAATGGAAACGGCAAGAGCCTTGCTTGATCACGATGTAGTCAAACTATTGCACTTGTAGGCAACATTAACATGTTATTGAACCTGACTTTCATAATTATGTTTACACAACTTTATGTTCTAGTTTATGTGAAGACTACTTTTATGGAACCTGACTTTTTTGTAAATCGAAACTAATATGTCAAGAATATTTTACCGTTTGAATGAGAATGAGTACGTAAAAAAATGTTTTGATATAATGGTTGTCAAACAGGGGGTTTAGTTGATTTAAATCAATTAGTAGGTGTAATAATGAATTGAAAATAACTTATGAAAATGATTACATTATTCAATTTCATTAGTGCGAAAAAAAAAGATTCCAGTTTAAAGAGGAATAATTCCTAAAAACATACGACAATTTTACTATAACCAGCACTCCAGCAGACGCCATAACCAGCACTCCAGCGAACACCATAACCAGCAGTAACTATAACCAGCAGCAAGATTAACCAACATGCACCATAACCAGCAGCAAGATTAACCAGCAGAAACCATAACCAGGTGTACCAATATCCAGCAGAAACCGTATCCAGCATAAATCAATTGCAGCAGAACCCATAAACAACAGAAACCATACAACAGAACCCGTAAATGTAAATGCAAAAATAGCAATTAAAATCTGAAAATAGCAATTCTGGTCAGTTGCCAGTTAATTAAAATCTGGAAATCTGAAAATAGCAAATGCGAAAAAACTAGCAGAATATCAGTTCAAATCTGAAAATGTTTACATTCTTCCTTAGAAGAACCAGCAGAAACTTCGCAAGATCAACTGTAAGGCTGGAGTTGTGAATATGAAATAGGTGTTGGCTGCGAGTCTTGAAGTTTTGTACTGGACTGGTCGACTTGTGCAACCTCCTCGACATGGGGACGCATCATTCTAGATCTCCGTGGCTTGCTTGAAGTAGACGTTCCCTGCATAACAATATAAGTACGCGTTCGTATTGAATATAAATGTTATACAAATCAATTGCAAGCAATGTACCTTTCCTTTTTTCGAACTGGACTCCAATGGTCATTTTCTCCTCAGTTTTCGTGGCGCACCCTTTCTTTTCGATGTTGTGGGGTCCAGTACGCTGACGTCGCCATCATGTGAATGAGTAGTAGGCTGTGAAGGAAAATTACTACCACCACTTGAATGCGAGTTCCTGAGTTCAAGAGCTTTAGATTTTATCCAGTCCAATACCGCACGTGAACCACATTCGTCCGGTGCAGCAAGGTCTGCCACCTCCGAAAATGCCATACACATTTCATCGTATCTCAACTGTTCAGGTGTACTAACCAACCCGTCATAATTAACAGCGACCCTCGTGTGAGCTCTACTGACGTCTCTCCTCCATCTTCTCAATATATACCTCTCCGGCATTGACGTAACGTCAATACGATCCAGAACTGTGATCGCATGCCGACAAATAATTCCACGAAATTCGAATAGATGGCAGCTGCAAGTAATCTCCATAGTGTCGCCACAAAAGAGTACCGAAAATATTCTCTTCTTCCGACCCCCAATATGTACGACAGACTCTCGAACCTCGTATTTTGTGCCAAACGTACCATCAGAAACTACACTCACGTCGCAATATACCTTTCCTATGAACTCAGCCTGTACTTCTTTGAACTTAGAAATAGTATAAATTGATTGATATTGCTTTTCCATTTCAAAGTCCGTGGCGCACGGAACCATCTATGTTTAGTATTCGGAAAAACAATCTCAATTGCATTTTGCATAGCTCTATCTTGATCAGTAATTATGCCCTGGGGGGGTTGACCATGCATGCACTGCAACCACGTCTTAAATAGCCAGATAAACGTACATGTATCTTCATTAGATAACAAACCACAACCAAGCAGGGTTGATTGTCCGTGATGATTCACGCCAACAAATGGGGCAAAAGGCATATCGTATTTATTCGTTAGATACGTAGTATCAAATGTGACGACATCGCCGAACTCTTTGTACGCTTGCCTACACCTATTATCTGCCCAAAATATATTCTTAAGTCGTGACTCGTCGTCTACATCCATACTGAAGTAAAATCCCGAATTTCGTGCCTGCATTTGTGAAAAGTATGACTGTAATGCTGCGGCATCTCCTTCTCCAAATCGTAACCGTCTCACTTGTTCGATGTAGTTGCGACAATCTCTTTCCACAAAAGACATATTCTCATACCCACCTGCTTCTACAACTGCGGAGTTGAAACTTTTGTGCAACGGAATCCTGCCATGTCATTCAACTCGAGCTTCCGTTTCACATTTGCAGTCAATCCTCGGTTGCATCGATACAATCTTGACTTCGAAGGGCTTGTTCTGTGATTGTGCTCGAGGTAGACAGTGTTAATTCTCCATATTCCATTATCGTTTGCCGATGCAGTTATCCTCGCTTTACAATCAATCTGACTGGTTGGTTGTGGCTTCAAAGATGTGCTTGAATTACTGCTTCTTCGCCCTTCACGACTACATGTCAATGTCACATATCTAACAACTCCATCATCCCCCTTTTTAGAGTTCATTTTCCTAACTGGAAACCCAACGGTGTACGCATATCGTTTATAAAAATCCAAAACCTCGGTTTCATCATCAAATGTCATACCCACCTCCGGCACTTTCTCCTCATCTTCTCCTAACGTTTCCTCCTCCACAATGTTTATATTGTCTGCCACTATCACACAACCGGGGTGCAGCAAAGGGTCTTCATTCATACCTTCCATTGTTTCGTAAACTACAACAATGTAGTGATGCAACTCAGATTATAAACGTAGTAATAACATGAAAATGGAGAGAAAAGTTTCTGTACACCCAGCATTTTCCTCAATCTTTTGACTCTTAACAAAAATGGATAATTAACACTCATGCAAAATGGTTATAAACAGTTAAGAGTCAGGTAGAAATCAAACAAACAAGCCTCATTTCTGAAAAATTGGATACTGGAAAATCATTCAACATTTCACATTCTTCAGATTGCGTGTAATTTTGGGTGCCCAAATAATGCTCATTGTCGTGTAATTACAAGATCAAATATTCACATACTCATTCAAATATGGATTGATTTTGTAACAAAGAGTCCAATGCCTTTAGTACCCAGCATTTTCCAATTTTCAACACCCAGCATTTTCCATTTTTCAACACCCAGCATTTACCGTTTTCAGCTGCAAATCTGAAGAATCCAGCTTTGTTCTCCGATACTCTTCCACAGTGGGGCTGCAATGATTCAGCTCGGTCGATTGGAATGAATATTTCAGCATTTATCGTTTTCAGCTGCAAATCTGAAGAATCCAGCTTTGTTCTCCGATACTCTTCCACAGTGGGGCTGCAATGCTTCAGCTCGGTCGATTGGAATGGCTATTTCAGCATTTACCGTTTTCAGCTGCAAATCTGAAAAATCCAGCTTTCTTCTCCGATAGTCTTCTGCAGTGGGGCTGCAATGCTCCAGCTTGGTCAATTGGAATGGTTTTTTCAGGGGCTGTAAGATCGATTAGCCCTCCGATTTAGGGCAAAAAAAGAGCGATTTGTGGGAGGAAGAAAGAGATAAGGAAAATGGATACCAAATTCCCTCCATTTTTGTCCTTCACGCTGGCACGCCCCGTTCACGTGAGAGATTTTTAATTTTCTGTACAGCTTCTGGTAAATAACCTCTGTACACCCAGCATTTTCCATAAACATCAGGTCTTCAATTCTGCCTTTACTTCACGACATTTCCGTCTATCTCGCCTGAGTCGCCCCTGCCTCTGTTCTCCTCGTCCCGTGACTCCCATCGTCCGCCTCTCTCACCAGTCACCTCTGCATCTGTTCTCCTCCACTCCAGGCAGTGGCTGACTCCATTGACCACCATCACTATCATGATGATGACTCTTCAAAACCCTTATCTTTCGCTTTCGCTTCTCACCATAACTCAGGCCGTGAGGTATGGTTCTATGTGTAGATTGTGTTGGTGGGTTTGTTATATTAGGGCTCCAGGAGTTTTTTTTTTAGTTTATGGGTTCTAAGTAAATATGGGTAAAATCGTTCCTCCGTTGTTTGATTTACAGAATTGAGAATGTTGAAGAAGAAATAATTAGTTTTGGGTTCATGTTGGGATTTGTTTAAAGATTTGCAGTATTAGATTAAGATTATATGATCCGTTTTTTGATTTCTGCAATTTTGTTTTTTCAAAATTAGTTTTTTTTTATTGTTAAAAGTTATTCGTAGCATTTATTCTAACAGTTAATTTTTTGTTGGTGAATTTGAATGCCAAAAGGTGAATTTAATTAAATAAAGCTTCAGATCCAGAATATGCTAAATTTAATTTGGTCTTAAGAGTTAAGACGGTAGAATGATGTTAGGTCTGATTGTTGCGATCTTTTGAATTTGCTGCCATTAGAATATAAAGATAACTGGTGGAGTGATTGATGAGGAAGCTTTAGTGAAGGCACTTGATTTAGGCATTGTAGCCCAGGTTCTTGCTTCATTATTCTGGAAGAACAAATGATTAATTATTTGAGACATATAGTGAAACTGGAAGAATAAACAAAGATATTTATTCATTTTTACTTGGAAAATCTTATTTGCAGGCAGCACTTGATGTTTTCATAGTGGAGCCTCCACCAAAGGACAACAAATTGGTGCAACATGTGAATGTAACTGCAACTCCTCATTTTGGTGCTAGTACTACAGAAGCTCAGGTTTACAGAATGCTGCACTAATTTTTTCTGTATGTTTTCTACTTCTTGTACCATGTCACTAATAATGTTCAAACTCGTAAACAGGAAGGAGTGGCCATTGAAATAGCTGAAGCTGTTGTTGGAGCCTTGAAGGGGGAGCTTGCTGCTACTGCTCTCAGTGCACCAATGGTTCCGTCGGAGGTATTTCTTCTAATTAATTAAATATATTTTTGCATCAAATTTTTCAATTTCTTTGTCAGTCTTTATGCATAACTTTTTTCAATTTCTCTTTGATTTTATGAAGTGAATACAGTATTTGTGGAAAATGACACTGAAGAAAACGACGCATGTAAAATTATTATTCTCACTTTTAATACTTCACTCTTTGTAGCTAGAGACTACATTTGAACAATTTAGAGCTTTTTTTCTTTTTAATGGAGAGATAAGTGATAAAAAAATATAATGGAGTAAGTCAGGTCGGGAGAAGGATCGTCTACCCTAAGTTGGACAATGGAATATGATGAACAAGGTAACAGCCATGTTAAAATGGTTTTTCTTTTTATGGTAATTTAGCAAACATGGCGCATGAAATAATATGAGGGGTTTTATGAAAAGGGAAAACATCCGTTGATTGCAAGTATGTGAATCAGGCAGGAAGACTTATTGCTCGTGTTAAATTTTTGTTAGTTTTAGTAATAATACTTGCTGATCATCTTCACTTACACATGGTGTTGATTCGTTTATTGCTGATCATCTTCACTTACACATGGTGTTGATTCGTTTATTCTTTTTTGGACCCTGCCTGTCATACATGATAGCTCTAAAATTGCAACATTTCATGTTTTTTTCTAAATATTGGAAGCAAATATTTGTAATTTATTTACTTGTTAGGCAGATTTTATGGATGTTAGGTCCATTGTTATTTGATTTGAGCTTGTATATTTCTGCTTCCTCAAAAGCCTTAATTTTAACTTGTGGTGCTGTTAATTTTTCTCTGGAAATTTTATTTTTTGGTTGGTGTCATGCAGAGGATGGTTAATGGTGGCACAATCAACAGCTGGATCTGCATTATTCTACTTCTTAGTTTTAGACCTTTGATAAGAAAGTTATCCCGTGTATATTTGGAATAGAAAGACCAAATTTTAAGAACTATGCTCATGAAATCCAAATGCTGTATTGATTCAATGTCGTATTGTATTACATTCTAAAATTTGTAATGAAATTATCAATTTTTATGCAATTCCAAAATTTGTTCACAAAGTGTCATTTTCAATTTTGTCGATAATTACCATATATAACCTAAAAAAAAAAAAAAGTCTATTGCAGCGNACCATATATAACCTAAAAAAAAAAGAAGTCTACTGCAACGTTGGAAAAACGCTGCAAAAGGGTCTACGGCAACGTTGCCGTAAAAAACGCTGCAAAAGGGTTTACGATAACGTTGAAAAAATGCTGCAAAAGATCTATCGCAACGTTTAAAAAACGCTGCAAAAGGGTCTACGATAACGCTGCAAAATGTTCTACCGTAACGTTTAAAAAATGCTGCAAAAGGGTTGTTCGCAACGGTGAATAAACGTTGCAAAAAGTCTTCCCTCAACGGTAATACCGACCTTCGCAATACACGCTAAAACGCTGCAAAAGGTCTACCGCAGCGTTTTTTGGCCACTGCAAAAGGTATTTTTTGGTGTAGTGTTTTGACACAAATTTTCTTAGAAGATGTAATATTAGTCAATCGAATAATCAACTCAATCAAGTGACTCACTTGATTAGTCAAGAATCTAACGTGACTAGTTAGATCTTGTTTATTTTTTCTAATCAAAGGCTTACAACATTTAGGTCTAAAGTGATCAAATTCACCACATTTATGACATGTAGCAATGGATTTAAGTGTAATTCTAGGTTTTAAGTTATGAACCTTAGGTTGAGGAAACCTATTTTGAAGAGTTGATTTAGGCCTTTGGAATATTACACTTTCGGTCTTGTTCCTACTTAAGAGTCGGCAACATTTAGGTCTTATGCGTCTTAAGTTTCCACAATGATGATACATGAGGATGAATTTAGGACAAACTCTAGGTTTCAAGTTTTGAACTTTATGATTGATCAGGGGAAGTACAAACTTATTTATAGAAGAGAAAGTGACATAGGAATTTGTTCTATTAAAGCCTACACCTCCTTTAACCCCAATTAGTTTGTTCAGACCAATCATGTTATCAATTTTCTTAGACCCGTTAGAAATATATTGGAGTTGGGTATTTAATTTTTCTAGATCACCCATAAGAGATTTAACCTTTACATTTAAGGATTCTTTCCCGACACTTAATTCATTCAATCTGTTGGTAGACACCTCAAGTTTAATTACAAAGCTCTCTTTTACAAATTCAAGCTTATTCAGTCTTTAAAAATCGATTTATTAATCTCATGTAACTTGAAACTCTCTTTATACATCTGGTCATAAGTCTCATGTATATCCATATGATCCTCAGATCCTACATTAGAATGTATGGTTGATGCATCTAGACAATTATTGAGTAAAGGATCTCAATTAAGCTCTGATAACACTTGAAAATTTTAATTTAATTGAATCTTTAGACCCCCAATGCATCGAAAATAAGAAACTAAAAGCAACATGTCACTTTTTAATTGTTTCTATATGATTAGGTCAACCAAGTTAATTTTATCCTAAGTTAGAATACCATAGTTTGTAAATAGAAAGTAGTAAATAACACCAATATGAACACAAAGAAAACCTTTCTCTAAGGATCAAAAACTACAAGCACTTTACTAGTCAACAATCCACTATAAACAATGAGACTTTCAGTATGCTCCATACCCCACTAGCAATCCCCCCTAACCTTCTTCCTATAATCACCTTGGCCATCTTAGACCGTGTTCTCCTCACACCAACTCCCAACTCTCGGTATCGTTTATCTTCTATGGACTTTTAAGATCGAACCTCGTTCTTTAGTGTCAGAACTCCATACACATCTTCCCAAAACTCTAGCAACTTTGAAGGCTAATTGGCGAATGTAGATTTGGTGTTTGATCAATGATCTTGTGTGCTTACTAAACACTAAATTACACTTCCAAGATATCTCGATTAAAATCAAAGTTTGGATGAATTTATGGCTCAAATAATATGGTGATTGAATTTTGAAATAAACGAATGTGTTTTGGATCTTCAAATGAATGATTTCTATGAAAAAAAATATGATTCAACACACTTTGAGACGTTCATACGTTAGATATTTATAGGATGTAGTATTTGGGATGAAAATGAATAAAAAATAGTGTTAAAATCGAATTAGGTCGTTGGCCAGATAAATATGTTGCTTGAGCATCAAGCTAACAACGTGATTCTATTTTTGGCGCTAGCCAGCACTAGGCGAGCATCAGCTAAGCGGTCATTAGTATAACTTTCTCTCTCAATATCGAATTGAGGTGACTTAAAGTAAATTGAAAAACTAACTCAAAGTGCTATAGTTCTTCTAGAAATAGAATTCTTCAAATTCTAATGTTTTTTATGTGAAAAATGCAATGCAAGTTACGATCGAGAATTTGAAGCATAACTTGTGGGGTTCTTTGACATTCTTTAGAATTCTAATTACATTCCCTTGATCATATGTGATCTTATTGGACATATTTGACTCCTACTATAAAACCTTAACTATTTCGATTTTGATTACAACTTAAAACATCTAATACAATTCAACTAGGACTTCATTTTGATTAAGGAAATTACCAATTATATAATTTGAACTTAATAGTCTCCAACCGCCTAATTGGAACAGCTAACACTGTCAATAGATATCTAGAAATCATCTCAGAGACAAAGAAATCTTAACTTCAATGTTTCCTAACAACAATGTGATTTTAATATTACTTTCCAGCTCCCACCCTCAGTATGATTATCAGCCCCACCACTTGACTCCAAAGCATCTTTGAACCATGATATTGGACACATTTGATTTGTTTGCTGTACAGTCTATCTCAGTTAATGGATACAAAGACTTGAAGGGGCTGTTTCACATAGGTTTTGATAAAATTTTACCTTATTTTGGTAAGAAATGGTGAAATTGTGATTTAAAAATTCATAAAAGTTATTAATCTTATAATATGTGTGATTGATGTCTACTTTTTAATAGTATCTTAAGCTTTCCCACACAAACACCAAACCTCACCACCATCAATTTACAAAAAAATTGCAAGTCAGGTTTTTGAATATGAAAGGTATAAGATATAAATAAATAGCTATTTGTTTCATATGTCTTACCAATTAACTTATTAAGGAGAATATGATTCATAATTAAGTAATCATTAATCATTTCTTGCTTCACAGTTTAAATGTTTGTTTAGGATGGCTAAAATTTTTATTTTGATAAACTGAAATTGTCACCCCACAAGAGATCGAATTTAGGAGATTAAAGTCTTGACATTCATGACAAAGAGTGTGTAATACTCAATAAAATAAAAGGAATCTAGATGTCCCATTCTACGATATCTCACTAGATTTTCGTATATTTTCTTATCAAATAGAAAATCGATGCTTACCTTAAGAAATATAAACTGATAGAACATTGAACGAAATAAGCAAACGAGACAAATCCACAAATGAAAAACTAAGAAATTACATATTGAGTACTATTCTAAAGAATTTTGACAACTAGTATTTTCAAATAACTGAAATCTTGGCCAAAACACGAAATCAAAATTACATCACTATATGTTATGATCTTAAAAATACTATTGGGTGTGTACATTAATCTTCTATATCACCATATTTTATAGTGAGTGAGGAATCACATTCAAAGTGAAAAAGAACGGCTTAGAATTCTGAAGGTCCAAAAAAATTGGATTTAATTCACGTCCATGTTAGACTCATCTTTAAGAATACTCTTATAATCAAATTAATTTATAAATAAGTAAATTATAACAAATATTTTTTTTATTAACAAAATAAATTTAGATCAAGTTATTATTTTGATCATGATATATGTTTCATGGTCAAAATAAGTAATTTTTTGGTTATAAGTATGGATAAGTAATATATGAAAACACACGTAGAAACAAAAAAAAAATTTCTTTTAAATTTAGCAAAACATGCAGTTTCTCTTACTATTAAAAAGTAATTAATTTATTTTTGGCTATAATCAATATAAATTATTTTTTTAATAAATGACTTATATAATCTAAGTAAATTTAGCCAAACATGCTTCCAATAAATACCTAATTTAGCAATAACTTATTCATGTTGTTATGAAAAGAATATTTAGAGTGTGTTTGGTAGAGATTAAAATCGAATTAAAATTGAAAAACTAGCAGTTATTGTTGACTTTATTAGACGAGTGAGACCCAATAACAGTTATATTTTCAATTTTAATTGAATTTTAATCGCTCTCAAACAAGCTCTTAATAATTTTAGTCTTTAACAAAATGTGGATAATTAGGCATTGGGCTAGAGATGGACTAATACAAATATTTGGGCCAAGAAACCCCCCATTTGTGTAAGGGAAAATTACTTAGCTACAATTAAATATTAGTTTTCATAAACAAGAGCGTTAAGTTTAAAATTCAGATTTTAAGTGATAAATAGAATTATTAATTTTAATTAATAAAAAAATAATTAAATCTAACAACTTCATCTTCAAACCCAATTATTTCTCCTATCCCTTTCTCTCTCTATATCTCCCTTCTCTCTCTACCGCCCAGCCACCCCTCACCCCTCACCCTTTTTCACTGCCGTCCTCATTCCTCCACCAGTCCATCCAGTTACAAACCTCATTCCTCAACTACTCTTCCTTCTCTCTCTTTGTCCGCCTACTTGCCTCACCCTCACCTATCTCCAGCATCACCGCCTGCAACGAAGCTTTACGCCGGGCCGGTGCCGCACCAGCGGCGATGAGAAGCTTCGCCGCACCAGCGCCGTTGCTGCAAGTAAGGTTGATTTTTTCGTCTCACGAAGTTGCTGTTCTGATCTTCTTTAGATCAATGTTGTTTCGATCTTCTTCTTCTTCTTCTTCAGATTGATGTTGTTTCTTGAAGATGTTGTTCCTATCTTTTTTTAAGAAGCAGTGGCACGCAGTAGCTATGTGCGCGTGTGTTGATATAGCATGTGTTATATTATAATTATATATTTAATAATTTGATTTACCACAAAATATTTTAGGAAATTTGTTAGTTTTGAAATGTAATTTTCACATGTAGGAGTCATGTATTGTTCCATTTGTGTAAATAACACTGAGGGGATGTTCGGTCCAGATATTCGGTCCAGATTGCGCGTACCTCAACTAATTCAACGGGGCCTTGAAATTTACAGTCGAGTACTCATCTCATTGGTTCTGAGGGGACTCGAATTGGTGACACTGAGTAACATATATAAGTTATTAATTTCAAAATTCATAATTTCAAGATTTACCTTCTTCCTTGATTTATCCAAATTTTCTTTGATTGTATTCAGAATTCTGTTTTCCATTGTTATCCTACTGGGAACCCTAATCTCTAAAGCCAAGATTCAACATCTTGTGTTCTTTGTTGTTGACCATAGATTTGACTTCGACTCAAAAGAAGAAGAAAGCAACCAAATCCCACGTAAACTTATCTCTTTTTATTGAATATTATTTTTTACGTTTTTTGGAATTTATATTTTCCCTTGAAAAGGCTATTTTGGTTATTCTTTTTTCCTTTTTTTGAAAAAATTATGTATTTTTAGTTCAAATTTTATAATGCATGAAGATTGTTGTGGCACATTCTGGTGATTGCTATGTGAACTGCAATTCTCTAATAATCCAATGGTTTGCTATATTCTTCTTGAAAACTTTGATCTTGTGGAAATTTAATTTATCACAATTGGTGTCTAATGTTCCCAATTTAATGATAAATTGTCATCTGTATCGTGTATGATGATTATTTCATTATACAATGGATTGTTTGACGGCCTCAGTTTAATATGGGTTGTTTCTAAATTCAGGCAGCACTTGAATAGTAGGAATCTTTTACAGTTAATAATTACAAGTTTTTTTTTTCTCTGGTGGGGAAAGGGAGTCGCTCAAAAGTTTGCCGTACGAAATGTTTTCTTTTTATTTTGTGTTGAAATGGCAAAATGCATTTAATTTTTTTTTATTGAATTCATCATTATTATAATTATTTGTAACACAATTTTTTAGGCAGCATCTCTGATTTTGCATCCAACACTGAAATTGATGGTGAGAACATGGAGAACTCTGAAACATACACTCATGACATTTGTTGAGTTCAAAAAATACGTCAACGGAATCTCGGCCACCTCCCCTTCACATAAACATCACCTGCACACTGAACATTCCGTTAGAAGGCAAAATGTCGTTTGTGGAGAAAAAAAGTTTGACGACCGTTTGCTCTTCAACGGTCAAATCAACAGCCGAACGGGAGAAATATGAGTGCATGAGATGGGAGAGAGGATTTTGATAGAGTTAGAAAACATACCTTACATGAAATGGATTCACACATATATAGAGAAATGGACGGGCCAAGTGGGGCGGAGTTCCAAGTCCAATACAAAGTTATTTAATTAAATAGGCCAAATCAATAGAATAGTTAACGCCACGTCGGCATATATGAGACCCCCTCCATTGTGCGTATGTCACGTAATTTATAGGTGTAACAATATTACTGTTGCTACTATGGGAGCTGGTGAGGGCAGTATTTACTTGATACTGGGTTATTTACATAAGAATGTTTAATTAGTTGCAAATAGTTGTACAACAGAACTTTGGACTAACTACTTCTGAGAATATATTAAAAGGTGGTATATGGTTGGAATATATGTTGCACGGATTTGATAAATCATGTTTGTTAGATTTAAGGACATTTATTTCCCGCACGATATTACATTGGGTTAGTAATTTCTGTTGTTTAAGCCAATGTCACAGTTACGTGAAATTGGACTGAATTTTAATTGGTTAAGGCAACTATCATGATAGTGTGTTATCATAGACATTGTGACAACTTTCATTGTATGTTAGCCAAAGGACAAATCAAAATCTATGCAGATATCATTATTTGTAATTATGTTGTAACAAATTTGTTTTATGTGTTTTTCTAAGCATTACAATTTGTTATCAAACACAATCTGTTAAATCTCCTTTCTGTGTAACATATGATTACATGAATAGTTATACTATATGGTTTTTGTAACGACATGAAACGTGTCATGGGATGTTACACTTACTAGATAACATGTTGTGTGACACTTCACTTCACTTCACTTTATTGTTATTTTATGTTTCTATATATTATTATTAATCACTTGTTGTCCCCGTGTCTTTTAAATTTTTGTCGAAATTATAAGGTTTATCACTGGCCGTGATATTTCCTACAACATCCAAATGACAATCGAGGAGATTTAAAAAGGCAAAGACTACGATCAAATCAAGAGTGCAACCAAGAAACGAGATGCGTAAGGTGCAAGGGGTACACCCATGTAAGCAGGGTGAAGCCAGAAATGAAGGGTACGGGGGGCTATTGGGTTGGACAGTCGAAAACAATGGGTTTTGACCTTTTTTTTTAAAGAAGTTGGGCTTGGGCAAGGGTGGGCTACATCCCACCGCAGCCCACCCCTATCTTCGCCACTACATGTAAGCAATCACTACCACTGAATCAAATATGAAAGAGGAAAGAAGCTCATATAGTATCCAACATGGTGATAGGATTTTTTCACAGACGTGGGACTCGAGATAGTTGCATTTTTGTTTTAATTTCCGAGGGGCTAATTTCATACAACATGTTGTATTCCATTCAAAAATATTGATTTTGATAAAAACTTATTGTTAATGAAATTTTTTTTCGTGTTCGAAATGCATGTTTACTAGTAATGGATGAGCATTTTGCTTTTTTGTAAATTCCAAATGTGCATAGGTAAGAAATTTTTCCCGAAGTATTGCAGTAGGATATATGTTAATATTGCAGTTCCCAATATTTTGTTAACATTGGATGAATACTTGATAATGAATCTGATATCACACAATGATTTTTATAAAAATGGAAGATGTCTCGTGTCACATGAGAGAGAAAAAGTGAAAATCTCGCATATTGATTTTCCTAGAAGTATAACACATTTCAAAAACCCTAAAATCAAAACTAAATAATCAATTTCAATATGATTCAATTCATTAAATATTATATTTAGATGCTTCAACGAAGTATGATGAAATTTGCATTATAATTAAAGCAAAAAAGAAATTACATTGTCCAAATATGTTGAAATTTTCATCATAATTAATCACTACTACATTAAAAGAGGGGATAGGCAATCACTGTTCATTTTCGCACCCTCGTTTTCACACTACTCTCCTTCGAAATGAATTTGCTACAGAAACTTATCAGCCTTCTCAAATACGTTTCATCTCTCACCGCCTTCTATTTCTCTCCACCGCCTTCTTCTTCTTCTGAGTACTTATCTCTGTACTTCGTAAACCCCCCCACCCTTGTTACCAAAGCTTTGATTCATAAATTCCTCTCTCGAGTGGTGTCAGCGTGGGTTCGAAGACANAATAATAATAATAATAATAATAATAATAATAATAATAATAATAATAATAATAAAATTCAATTTTATTTTTTGTTCATTTGACTTTATTTTTCGTGCAAATTGTCAATTAAATGAATAGATTTTTTTAACCATTGAGTTTGGAATTTGTTCCAATTGAGAAAAAAAAAAATGGAAAACAGATTTCCGCCAAAACCAAAAGGAAAGCAAACTCCTTAAAAACCAAGAAAGTGGACGCGTGAGCATGAGGGTGACCAAAAGAAAATGAATTCCCGGCAAATTATTGGCTATCAAATAGCCAACTTTTGAGAAAATGGAAAAAAATTTCTAGTTCCACGAAAAATGAGCGTGATCAAACAGGGCCGAATTGTTTTGTTTTTCTTGGGTAGCTGCTATTTTTTCCCCATTGCATTTTGCTCTTAATTTTTTATATGAGCTGGGAGACAGGTTTGGGCTACAGCCCAGGCCTCCCCGACCTCCGCCCCTGGGTCCCACGAAATAAGTGGTGAAAAAGTGAATAATAATTGTGGGATCATATTTAACATGTAATTAAGATTAATTGATTACTTTTGCCTCAACTTTTTATCATTCTTTTCAGTTCTCCCAAATTAACAAACACTAAGAGAACAAGTGGTAGTGTTACTTCTTAGATAGCTGGTGAGGTATAAAAATGTACTATCATAAAAGTCTCCAACTAGCACTGGCTGTCAACCCCAATCGAGCCTATTTGTCAGTAATTGTCATTACTACACAAGATCCAAGAATTAAATGTTAATGAAATAACGACCAAACCCCATTCTGATTAGTTTAATTGTCTTAATAGTTCGAGAATTATATAATGTTGTGATATTACAACCTACCGTCCTTAAAATAAATTTGATCCTCAAACTTAGTTCATTATAACATATTTATCCTTTCGTTGTGTCACTCTCAAATTTTTAGTCATATCATTTCTTATCAATTTCTAGTTCAAAATCTAAAAGTGCTCTTATTGTAATATCACTGAATACTTCTAAAACATCAAACTGTTATACAAGTTCAAATGTTGAACAATTTCGTTAATCCAATGACATTTCTTAAATTATCTTTAAACCTCAAAGAAAAGTTACCATATACCTTATTAGTGTTCCATTATATTACTGTACAATAGTCTACCTTATTAAATGGATACAAAGATTTCAAATCTTATCACAATCAATTTATAGAAGTTTTGCCTGTTAATTTTTTTTAAGAAATGGCAAATATGAAAGGTATAAAATATAAATATAAATATAAATATAAATATAAATAATTATTTTTTCATACCAAGTGGACGGAGTGATAGCAAATATACAGCAAATCACGGTATTCTAGCCCGCACAACGCCTCAACAGGTTCAACAAAGGGCCTGGCTTTTGGGTTGAACGTCGAAAATTCAGCAATCCCTATTCGGGACAAGGTTAGGAAACATGATCTCTGTCACAAACCCGTCCACGACTCATAATTTTTAATTTTTTTTTCAATA